TCTTCTTCTTGTTTTCTTCAGCTGGCTCTTCATCCTTGGAATCTGCCTTCTTGCTCTTCTTGCTCTTGCGTTCTTCTGCTGTCTCTGTTTCCTTCGAACCTCCCTTTTTGGTATTCTTCTTCTTGGCATCTTCAACCGCCTCTTCAGTCTTGGAATCCTCTTCGCGGTCTGCTTTTTTCCTCTTCTTGTCATCCTTATCTTTTTCTTTTGTGCCTTTCTCCTTGACTGCAGGAATTTTCTTTACATCTTCATTGAAGCTCACCTTGGGCTTTCTCTTCGCATTCTCCTCCTCATCATCCTCCTCCCCCTCGTCTGATTCACGCTCTTCATCACTTGAGCTACCATCGTCCTCACTGCAATCCTCTCCACAAGACTGTGTTGCTGTGGTTGATGCCTCAGACTCATCGTCATCCTCTTCTTGGCTTGACTCTTCAGAAGTATCAGTGCCCTCATCACCCTCGTCCTCTTTGTCTTTCTCATTGTCCTTTTCCTCCTCTTCTTCACTCTCGCCCTTCTGTGTTGCTTGCTTCTTTAGGCTGTCATCAAGCTCAGACATCAGCTCCGCTGCAATATCACCCTCCTCTTCGCGCTCCTCATCGGATGCTTCCCCTGGAACATCTTCACACAACGCTGCCATGTCCCCTTTCTCTTGCATGGCCTTCTCAGCTGCAGCCTGAGCGCGCAGAAGCTTTTCCATTTTGGCATCAGTTTCTTTTTCCTGCTCTGATCTGATCGGCGATTCTTGGGGCGGGCTCTTGACTGAATGCCTCCTTGTTGGAGGTGTCGAAATCCCTGCAGGAGTGGCTCCCTTACCCTCCTTTCCTTTCTTGTCTTTTCCTTTCTCCTTCTCTTTGCTCTTGGCTTCCTTTGACACCTTAGGTTTCTCTGCTTTAGGTGGATCCTTCTGCAGTTTCTTCTCTTTCTTTTCCTTCTTTTGGGCTTTGTCTTTCTTGCCCTTCACCTCAGAAGCTGACCTGGTAGCTGTCCCATTCCCAGACCCCTTTGAGCGGTCTTTGTTCTTCAAAGCGCTTTTGCGGACTTCACTCAGCGCCATGATAGTTTGCAGCAAGCTGTGAACCATGTGAGCTTCACGGGAGATACAATTCGCATCATTTCTCGGTTTTTCGCATCAGAATTCTCGGCATTTCGCATCAGAATCTGGAACCCAAATGGTGTGATTTTCATTCGGTTTTTTGGTTTTCTTATTCTTTGCAAAAGGCTCCCTGGTTCCTCTCAGAAAGAAAGGGAAAAGCTACCGGCACCTCCCGGCTCTCCAGGCCTTGTGATGGCCTCTTCATATGCAGCCGAGGCATTGGCCTGGCCACTTGGCTGAGCAGGCGATGGTTTTTTGGCTTAGGAGCAGTGGGGCCAAGGTGAGGCAGGTAGACAAGGCACTGGGCAGACTGAACTCTAAACAATGAAAGAGGTGAGGCCGAGAATTGGTGCTTCGAAAACAAAGCAGTGAGTTTTTTCCTTCCCAGGCGGCTTGAAGCTTTCGCTTGTAAAACTAGCTACCATGATGCAGTTGGTATGTGAATTTCCCTCCAACTGCAAATCACAGATCCCCAGAAAAGTAGCACCACATATTGCTGCGCTACACCGATAGGTATGTGAAAACTGGCTTCAAGTCAGCTCCCTCAATCCACTGGTTGTTGATCCTGGGTCGGCAATCTGCAGCGCTGGTCTTGGCAGTCATTGCCTTCTTGAGGAAAGCCTTGGCCTTCTTCTGCACTGCTCTGCGATTGCTGGTCCGGATGGTCGCTAGTGCCCGACCGAATCTGGGCGGCAAGGCATGGGAAGAGTTGGTGCGATACAGTGTTTGGATATGTTTGGATGCCTTACAAATGATCTTCCCCGAGGGTTGTGGGAAAGAAAATGTACTCCTCCTAATTGAAAACAAGGCTCCTTCTTGGGTAAGTCTGGGAGGACTTGAGGTGGCGGCCTCCGCAGATTCTGGGCTTTCCTTGGGAATCAACGTAGTGCACAACATTCTCGACTTGTCGAGGAACAAAGTTCTTGCGAGCAAGGCTGTTCAAATCTTCAATCTCAATGTGGCCTCAGTGGAGGGTTGCGCATTCCTGTACTTAGCTTTTGGGGCGTTTGTTTTTTAGATGTAAGGGTTTGGAAGCAGATTGAGGGTATCATGTGAGTCGCCCCAACTTCAGAAATATGAATCGATTACAATTGCAGCCTGGAAACTACTGAACAAATGTGTTGGCTTGAGGGACGGCGCCCCGAACCAGCCCACGCAAGTGTAAAGTTTCCTCACTGCAATCCCTCGGAGCTGTAAGAACTTCTGGAAAAGAGGATGGTAGGGCATCACTGAAGATGCTGGTTGTTCCAGTACCCACCAGCACCCTTTGGCTGAGCAAACCATCAACAAGATCAGGAGGCGACAAAGCATAACATTAGCTTCCTGGCAAGCCGGGCTTGAAGGACTTCCAAGAGGATTGGTCCGGCTTCTTTTGGTGGAGCCGGATGACCTGGGCTAAAGCTGGAATGGGAGTGGACTGAGACTGGTTTCAGCTATGTAGACAACAGGCCCCCTGTCCCCTGTGTTTTGACTTGCGCATTAACAAGATAAGGACGTGGCATGAAGACCCATGTGCTGCACACGGGCGCAGTCACTTTGCCAGCACCCGGCTTGAGGTTCAGAGCCCAAAAAAGGGCGTTACAAAAACCTGGGCATGTCAACATGCTTTGCTTCACCTCATCATGGATGATGTCGAAGCTCACTGCGGTGCGTCCTGCTTCAACCTCTCCCATGGTCACTGACCCACCACCACTGAAGGTCTCAAAATGGTCGATCGGCGAGTTCCAGTTCAATCCCTCGATGTTGAACATCATGCTCACCAGGGTCAAGACCACCTAGGCTACTGCAAGGGTAGTGTTTCGAAGTGTTTGTTTTTGGGAAGTCCCCCAATACAATGTTCATTGAATCCCCCTAGCTTCCAGAACCAGATCTGTGAGAGGATCCCATTCAAAGAGTTCTCGTAAACTTGGGGGGAACAGCTAGAAAATGCGATGACAGCTGAGGAAAGCTACGATTGGAGCCTGCATGTACCGCAAGCCTGCCATTGTCCAGGCGCGCTGACGATCCTTCATGGATTCCAAAGAAGCCTCCCTGGAAACAGTCATGGGCATTTGCCTCTGGCCATGAGCTTTCTCCACTTTCTGCGATTTCTTATCGCCCGGCATGAAAGGTTGAAACTTTGTGAATCTCACCATGGGGTCGAGCAACTAATACTCTAGCACCTATTGACTTGAAGCCTTGGAGCCTCAAACTCTTCAAAGGGTCCAGGTACACTGTGTATGTGTTCGCGCGCGCTCAACAGTCCGCTGAAGGCGGCAGTCTTCGGATGGCCTCGTCGATGCGAAGCTGGCAGCGTTCCCGAAGATGGGCCTGGCGTGTTGGCTGAAGGGAGTGACATCCTGACGCTTAGCTTTGAGCATGGCGGGAAGGTGACTAGTGGTTTCCACAAAGACGGTTCAACATTGAAGGCTAGAAATCAATACCCTCGCCCAACTCTTCAAAGTTCAAAAGGATCCAAGCCTGGTCAACGAAGATGGTCGTTTTGAAGCAGTGCAGAAATGACCTGGTTGAGCGTCTGTGAATACCCAAAGGTGCTTTCATGTAAAGTACCACGAAAGTGCAGCCAAGACCTTTCATGGAAAGTGCTTTCATGTAAATATCCATGTGATTCATTCTTATTAAAGACATCGGCGAAGCCCCGCTTTCATTGTTTGACTCTAGCTTGGCGTGCATTTTGTTGCGCCTCGAACTCAAAGAGAAGCTCCTCCTTGATTCCCCACCTCACAGGTAGAAAGGCAAAGATTGGGTCATGGAAACGGCCCCCCTTGGGGGGGTCCGATTTCATGGCCCAACCAAAGTCAACCAAAGTGGAAATTTGCAAGGCTGGGGCCATTGGCAATCCCCCCAACTTACATCTTGTTGTTTCGAAAAGATAAATAAAAGGATGTTCCTTTGGCGCAGGGATTGAGGACGCCCAAAGTGCATCCCAAGGGCCTGTGTTCTCAACGATCCGGCCAAGGTAAAAGTCCTTCTCCATGTACCTGGAGCAGCTGGGGATTCGCTGGCAATTGGTGTGAGCACTCTGAGCACCACTTGGCCACTTGACTGGTCTTGAAGGAGCTTGCCTTTTTCCTTTCAACCCCTTCGAAATGAATCCTACGTAGTCCAGCAGTTCCGCTAGACCCTAGGCCATAGCACAGCCCAAGATTGCCCACACGCAGATACAGTGTGAGAATTTACACACTGCCCTAGCCACATATGGCACAGCATGAGCTGGTATGAGCTCAAATACCCCAAAAGATCTGATCTAGTGATCTAGAAGCAAAACTCATTTGAAGTTTGCCTTCTTCTTCGCTACCTCCCACGCAGGGCCTGGACCCCCGAATTTCTTCCAATTCAGCTGTCCACGGCAACAGTCCTTAGGTGCACCTTCATCGCCACCACCTATGCGCTTTACCACATAGGCGGCGTTGCGCACCAAGACCTCCACAGCCTCGACAACATGAGACGCGATACATCGCAAAATTGTTTTCTTCTGACGACAAGGCAAGTAGACACCTGGACCTATAGGCTCATTGAAACAAGGGGCAGCATTGTTTGGAGAAACCAGAGTGTACCCATGCATGCCAGTGTAGGTTTTGTCTGCAATGGGCCAGGCTTCCCTGGGTACACCCAAAGCGCGGACGTCGTAGGACTTGAACATGTGACTGGTCGCGGCAGGCCCTGGGTCCGCTTCCTTGGACGCCTTCTTCGCCTTCTTGATGCCACTCACCTGAAAAATGCGAGGGGGAAGGGTCGCATGAGCGTTGAATGAACCAACTCTTTGCTTCCTTAAGTTCAGGCAATTGGCGGTTTGGGCCATCGCATCACAAGGTTTGGATGAAGTAGAAACCTTATCCGCGTTGATGGGGACTTCGAGGATAGGAGCTTGTGCGCGGACCCTCTTCTGGCGTAACCCATTGCAAGCATCATCCATGCCAGCCTCAAGAGCTTCTCTCACCGAGCTGGCCTTGCGCTTCAACTCCTGTGTTGAAGTAAAGATGTTACATGTGCACACCTGTTTTTTTAAATAACTCTCGCTACTTTGAACGCACTCCTTTTCTACTCCGATTTGAACCAAAAAGGAGTGCAGTCTAAAGCTCATTGGTCCTCGATGGCACCAGGCTTTGCGCTGCTGGCCGCTTTCTTGTCCTGCAGCCGAGAGGGTGAAGCCTTTGATGGAAAAGGTGTTGCATTTACAGAGCTGTGACAGAAGTTCTTTGAAGGTTTATATATTTATATATATATATGTATATAAATATATTTTTTTGTCTCGCTAAAGAGCGCTCCTCTTTCCCAGAAGAGTTCATCTCCAGCCATGCGTTGAAATAGTCCAAACGGTCACACCAACGAGAGACACCGCGCCACCCATAGGTGGCTAGCTTTGTTTCCAAGTGCTCGATATACTGTAGGAAATTGGGGTGCCTGGGTCATTCGGGCTGCAAAACAGAAGACCACCCACACGTTCCAATCACAAGTGCAGCAATGAGCAAAGCCAACACAAAACCAATGCCGAGAAACGATGAAATCTCGGGCTTCTGGCGAACATAAAGTGTCATGCGAGCTGAGATCATCTTCAAATCAGAAGCGGACATGGGAGAGGCCGGGGTGGTATCACGCCAAATCTGCTGAACATCAATGCCCTCGTCTGAATCGCTACTCTCATCATCCTCATCAGTCCCTACACTGTCGCTTCCCCCATCCTCTTCAGTAGATTGGGTAGAAGGGCGGTCACCAATCTGCTCAGGAGACTTGAACTCTGGTGCCCGGTAGGCCTTTGCCAACCAGCTGGAACCAACCTGAGACCATTGCTCCTCCTCTGGGTCACCTTCAGAAGATGAGGCAGGTACCACCTGAGAATCCTCACCTGTTTCTTCGGTAGGCTTTCCAACTTCAGGTTCATCAGACTCATCAGACTGTGAAGAGTTTCCCTCATCATTACCACTATCATCGTTCACCGCGTCCTCAACAACAACGCCCTGGTCGCCCTGCCCTTCCTCCTCCTCCTCCTCGTCACCCTCATTGGCACTGGGATTGCCATCCAGATTCGCCTAGCCGTGCATCGTGAGATATCGTGAGAGGAAACGCACACGCCCAACATCCAACATCTTTCAGAAGCACACGAAACACAACCAAGACATCTCAAAGCTGGGCGCAAAAAAGAGGCCTCTTCAGCCTCTTCAGGCTTCTTCTTGGGCGACGGTTTGAGGAAAGACTTCATCCTGGTAACACGCCTGTGGTTCCCGGATTTCTTACCTAGGCTCATTGGAAGTGACCAATTAAGGAACATTTCAAAAAGCTGCGCAGTAGTAATGATGGTGTCAGGGCGGCCGGGCGTGCAACAAAAAGCAAACAGATAGTATCATCTGAGACACTCGATCGCCACAAGTAACGGAGAGACGAAAGGAGATGCTTCAGTCTGGTGGCCTCCCTGGCGGCCACAGACTGCACAGTGTCGTGCGGCTCTCGAGGTTTCAACATCTTGCAGTCAAACAGAACGTTGAGGGCGAGCATCACATCGGTCAAGAAAAAGCCACTTGGTACCTGAGCATCTTCAGTCCACAGTTTCCCCAAACAAGTAAACGAACAATAAACAAGAAACAGTCTCCCCACATGCTTGAAAGCTACCCGGTCCGGGTACCGCTGAACCAACGGTTCCATCCATGGAGCGTTCACCGCGCATTCGTCTGCTGTTGGACGGTGCACATCGCTTTTCAAGATCAACAAATGGCCTCCCTTCCAGTCCTCAGACCCTATCAGGTTGACTGCCGAAATCGGGAGCGACTTCAGAATTGCCTGCGCCATGTCTTCCTTAGATCGAGCCGGTATTCCATTCGTTGTCATACCACGCAGTCATGCCAACACAGCCCCTCCGCGGCAATGAACAAAAATTTTTGTGTTTCATGCGAGCGGCGACTTCTTTCTGTGTCCAAGAGATACGCCCCGGGCCTCAAATCACCACCCACAACACACCCCATAAAAATCCATACACCTGGAGCAAAGCATCGTTCCAAAAGGCCGCCTAGGCGCGTACTGATCTCCATGTGGGGGACAGCAACCCACCAACGCCAACTTCATGGTCGTCATTCATAACACGCTCCATCGATCGCGAAACAGCAGCGAAGCACTAGAAAGCAAAATGGCAGCTGTCAACAAGAACGTGAACTCAAAACGCACACGACGCTTTCTGCGAAAAAGTCTTTGCCCACAGAAAGCCCTGGGGCACCAGAGCCACAATCACCCAGGCGCCCCTGACGCGCCCCCGCTTTGAGCCACCAAGCGAGGACAAAACAAAGGGTATGAAAATTCTGCGGGTGTGTGTCTGTGTGTGAAACCAACACATACTATATGTGTATATATATATTTCTTTTACTTCAACCCCTTGTTTCCCTAAAGTTGCTGTGTTGGTGCACCAACAGGGCACATGTTCACTGAAGAAATGGTGCCACCCCGAGCCCTTGTTTTTTCAACTTTGGAATTATAATTGTGGTTGGGGAAGCCGTTGGCGGGGCTCCAAAGACAATTGCGCATACAGCTCCTTTATTGTTGCGCATATTTTTCAAAAAACTTTTTTCTGAATGCGTAGCGAAGGGTTTTTTCTCTTTCACATCACAACCCATGGCTCAAGACCACCCCCTCGATGAGTTCAACCCTGAACAGCGAGGAGCTAACCACAGGCCAGCTCAAGAACAAGTGCACGCATAGCAAAAGACACCGTGTGCAACAAAAGGCATCGCGCGATGCCATTTGTAGAAACGATGTCCTTATCGCATCGTTGGACCCTCTAGGCAGGAAGTTCATCATCACTATCGAGGAGGCCGTGCATGCGGTCACGAGCTCGGGAGCTTGGAAGCAGCTTCGTCCAGACACCCTTTCTCAAAGCATGTCTAGCAACTTCTTTGATCACAGCAACTGGGCAAGGAGCACTCACGGCCGCCATGCAGTCTCCTGAAGCATCGGTTGCAATCACCCGATCCAGATAAGTCGCTCTGAGGTTGACGACGGCCAAGGGAGCGAGCACCACCAGCGCAGTCATCTCTGAAATCAACTCAGTGGAAAGTCTAACCACCGCTTTTTGGTCTGCAATGCAAAGCGGCTCGAAGATGATGTCCAAGCAGCAGAACATTCGCCTGCGGACTCCATACAGCGACACCCACGAACCAGCTAAAGCCTCCAGCAATCCAACGGTGGCTAATCCCAAGGAAACGACTCGCATGGTGATGAAAGCCACAGGCCACAGTCTCAGCGACGAGCTCCGCAGCAACCCTTTTTCCCCATCAATTTCCAGTCCCCAAAAACGAGAACACAACTGCTTCTTGAACGTCTTGCTGGGGTTGTGTATCAATCCAGTGGCCTCATAGGCTAGCTCAGCTTTTCGAACTCTGCGGTCGGATTCGATTTCGGTCTCAGTGAACGGCAGGCCTCTCACCACTTGCTCCAAAAAGATCAAATCGTCGACTATTATACCGACTTGCAGCAGACCTCGAGGCAGCGAACCATGCAGGGTAATCAACTCCTCAACCGTGGCTATACCATGCTGCAGGCAAAGACCTATGTGGCTTGCTTGAGCGAACTCCACAGCCATGGTGTCTCCCATGGCCAAGGTTGAGAGGCCAACCCAAACAGGTTCTTCATGCCAGCTAAAGGCTTCGCCAAAAATGTCTTTCGCCTCGGTCATGCTCACCGGGGCGGCCAAGGCATTCCGCTCACAACGTTCTTGCCCCACTGCAAACTGGTAGAAAAAATCTTTCAAATCAAGTCCACTTGCAACTAGCACTCGGTCAGCTGGCAATTCCATCTGAGCTAGGGAGAGCCCAGAAGCCATGGTCCGACACCACTTCTGCTGCCCACGAGTGAGCAGGTTTGCAGGCCGTCCATCCAGGATCATCCGATCTCGCAGTTGATCTTTGACCACAGCGAATAGTCCTGAGCAGTATCCAGAGAAAAAACTGGTGCTTTCAATGGGACGCAGTCTTCCTGAATCAGCCAGCTTTTTGTATAATGCCACTTTCTCTGCAGCAGTCGCTCGGACTTGAACTTGCGGTGGGAGTTCAGCTACCTCTTCAGGCTTGAAACCACAAGATATTGGGCTCTCGTAGCGCTCCAGAGTAGGAGCGTCAAAAAAGGGACGAGGATCAAATGCAGGCTCTGGGGGGAAATTCAACCTCTTGGCAATCAAAGGCTTCGCAGTGATCACTGAGTTTCTTTCCGCTCTGCTCACAATCGTGCCAGCTCGGATGAGCTGGGCATCTGAGGAGCTGGCGTCTTTGCTTGGCTTCATGAAAGAATAGCCTCCTAGATCTCCATGCAGTACCACCGCAGCGCGAGCCAACGCATCCAGACAGTCTTGAAAATCTTCGACTTTACCAGCTGATCGGCCCATCTCTGCAGCAGTGACAAATTCTGGGAAATTACTATCAAAAGCCAGGTGCTCAAGCATCCGCACTACTGTCCACTGTTTAGCATTCAGCCTTCTCCCAAGCCGCAAAAGGAGCGGCGCAGCTGCCGGACATCCCAAAAACATCCAGTCGAGCACCGCTATCTGGAGGCATATCAGTCGCTTCAAATGAGCTTGAGGAACACGGGAACAGGCTCTGCGAATGAAAACCTCAGGATATGGCAAGGGGAGTGGCCACGTAGAAGCTCCTGGCAAAGATGTCACTGGATCGTTTCCAGTTGGGGTTTGTACGATGGAAGCCAAAAAACCTTGAAGGCTGCCTTTGGTCTTCAGCAACAATCTCGGCAACGAATTCAAAAACCCAGGCACAAAAATTGAAGAAGCCCTCGCACCCGGCAAACCACTGCTCATATCAGCTGCAGGCTCCTCCTCCACAGGGCCTTCATGGCCCGTCATGCATCCTGGTTCTTTTCGGCTGCTGCTCCGGCCTTGGACTTCGCCTTGGCCTTTGCACGTCTTTTCGCCTCCCAGCTCACGCTCTCTTCTGACTCTTCTTTCGCTGACTTGCCTATGTTCTTGCCGATGTTCTTTCGTCTTGTCAAAAATTCCTCCTGGTCTCGCAGATGTCCCAAAGTGACCTCCGCCCATCTCGCATCTAGCAATCGGCTGAAGGGGCTCTCTCCGTCCTGGATGTTGGGGCCCTGGTGTGTCGACAGGACAGACATTGGTGGCGTCTGCTCCAAGCTCAGCTCGGCCGCCAAGACCCAAGACCCCTTGTCGATGGCAGCTTGATCCAACTGAACTAGACCCAAACAAGCCCTTGCTCGAGCTAAATCCACCTTCCCAGCGACCAAGGCATCGAGAATGCCTGCAAAGGCCCAGGCACAATGAGCACCAGTCTTGTAGCCGTTGATGCGGGAACGATGCTCGACCCAAGCTCGTGCATTGAGGCCCCATGGAGGTTGCCCCGGTCCGAGCGTCTGCGACGCTAAGTCCTCGTACATCAGCTTCTCGATGCACATGTGAATTTCCTCGGGGTGTTCTGACAAAGTCGTCCTCAAAGCACGACGGGCAGCCGCTGTCTTCTTTCCCGAACCAAGGCTGATTGCTTCGGAAGCAGATGAACCCTGAGCGGAATCCAGCGCTAAGTCGAGCCTCGAGGCAGTCTTCACTTTCTTCTTGTCCTCCGCCAAAAACGAAACAATGGTCGTCAGCTTTGACAAGGTGGCAGCCATTGGGTCCAGTGGAGCTCCACCAGACTCTTCGCCCCCCACAGGGCGGCGGCCGGCACTGTCGTCCTCTTCCTCGGAGAGGGGGTCGGCCAAAACAACATCTGATCTCTCTTCTAGCACCTTCTTGGCGCGGACATTCTGAGTCACCAGCTTCTCCATCATGGCGAGGCTGTGAGGTGGAATCCCAGCTTGCAGCGCCGCATCGACAACTCCAGCGTCCAAATGAGGAAAATGGACTTTGGGCTGCTTGGGCTTTTCCGCCAACTGCTTCGTTGGTTTGCGCAGCGCAGACACGCGAGGTGCAGTGGTTTGCTCGCTGTCCGGGAACTTCTTGAGCAATGTATTCATGTTCTCGCCAATCTGCTTCAACGTTGCTTCGATCGTCTCGACACGAGTTTCGAGTCCTCCCGACCCAGAAGCGTCGGCATCCCGCCCCGCCTCCAGCAACTCCACTTCTCCACCGCTGCTTGCGCCATCGCCAGCTGAGAAAAAAGCAAAGTGTTCGTTGGCCGCTGCAACCAAGCTCTCTGCCGCCGGAAGCAAATGAGCTTCCCCGTACGAACCAAAGGTGAAGGTACAATCTTCGTAATCCACCAGCGGCTGCAGGTGTGTCAGCAGATCTGGCTTGAGAAAGCCGGCCCAGCACTTGATGTACTGCTCTGGTTCGAGTATGGTTTTGTCCACCCCGTCGGCGGCCAGCACTTCTATCACTGCAGGTTCGGAGAGAGCTCCAGGCTGCATTCGCCTGCGAGTCACCTGCCTGTGCCATGCTTCGAAGGGAACGGCCACCAAAGACTTACCCTCAAACTCTGCGATCAACAGGAGAGGAAAGGCAATGTCACCCGCGTCCAAATCGTCAAAATAGAGCTGAACTGAAATGTCTTCACTTGCAACAAGCTTCCCTTCCACTAACAAGTAGGGAAGCTGAGAACCGCCGTCCTCAGGCGATTCCCCTGCCATCACTGGTCAAAGGTCGAAGGCCACTGCAGCTCCGCAGCTGCAACGGCTACCTTGGCCTCACGGGCCGATGGGAAGCCGCAGAAGATGGAGTCTCCTACGTCCTCGTACTGCTTCACGATGCCCTTGCACGAAGTCCAAGTCTTGAAAACTTTGACTGGTGAATGGATCTGCCCGTAGTAATCTCGGACCACCACCCACAAGCGTGATGCCAATGGGATGCGGTCTCGGCCGCTTGATCCTCGATGACTGCCGTTCAGGCAGCGGACAAAAAACTTGCCAATGCCTGCAGCTATCTCTTCTTGCTGAGCCCAACTGATGTCACGAGCAGTCTGCGGGGAAGAAGTCGAGGCTGCAGTTGCTACTCGCTGAGTGCAAGTAGGAGGGGAAGACGGGTATCCGCCCCTTCGGCTGTCACCTACCAAAGAAAAAGAATCCTCCGAGTGGCGATCCTCTTCAGCCTGGTCACTTCCAGACTGCTTGCGGTTTCGAAGCTCACTGACCTCCCGGCGCAGCCGGCTAACAACCAACGAGAGCTTGTCAACTAGCTCCCTCAATTCACTGACCTCAAGCTCAAGATCAGCTACTCGCTGGCTCATTAAAGGAGCTTGTAGAGCTCCTTCCTCCGGCCTTGTCCTTGCGCAGCTGTGGCGCTTCGCACCCACTCAATCACTGCCCAGCGGAAGGTGACCAACCACTCAATAACAAAATAGAGGAGCAGCCCACACAGCAAGCCCAACAAAAATGAACCTGGGTGGAAGCTTGGAGCCGACGAGGATCTATAGAGCTCAAGGAGGTCCTTATGATCCCAATCCAGGATCTTCAAAGCCAGCGCTAAGCTGGATCCAGCTGACACTCCGGTCGTCAGCGGTCTGAGGCTCATACGCTTAAGCCGAAAGTTCTGGCGCCATTCCGTCGAAAACATGGAGAGTATATATATTCGCTCGAACAGTTCGCACGAACGGTTCGTACCAAATCATGCGCAGTGGCACAGGATCGCACAGGTGTATTTGAAGAGTAATCTTTCATACAAATATATATATATATAATATTGTGTGATTCTTGGACAGCTTCCTGATGCCAGTGGTCAGCGGCACTGCAAAGTAGCGCAACTTGCGATACTGCTTGGTGAAGCCTACCATATCCCCTTCCACATGGCTTGAAACCTTGTAATTCTGGCCAAGAAGTTAGCCTGTCCTTCTCATGGCAAATGATATGGATTGAGTACCAGTAATTGGTACTTCATGCTGTAAGTCACAACTGGCTGAGTATCATGATCTGTCTGCTTCGAGCATCGACTTTACCTTTCTTTCCTCACGACTCAAGTGAACGGACTCTCGCATTGGTTTATTTGATGGATACCTGCCTGATGTCTCCCCCTTCATGATGGGACTCCTTCAAGCAATGCATAACTGTGCAGTGATTAGAATATACCTTTGCAGGGATGTAGAAGAGGCAATGATGAAAACGGTGCAAGGAGATTATGCAGCGTCAACTTTTTAGTCTTAGTGCTACACCACCAAAAGTCGCCAGAAGAAACCAACACACTAGGGCAAGGACGCTACTAGGGGCTCCTGGCCTTACTACTAGGAGCAAGGACGCTACTAGGAAACCAACACACCAATCAACTTTGCAAAAATGTTAACCCTTTTCCTGGCAGGACCACGCCGAGGCCGGCTGTACACTCGGCGCGCGGTAGGCGAGGTCCAGTCTGCATGTGTGCTTGGCATCAGAAACTGACACAAGTTCTGAGCTTGAACAAAGCACTCTTGGATTGAGACCCACTAAGGAAATCATCCTTTGCTGATTTGCGGGTTCTTTGGAGCATTCCTCCACTCAGAAAGCGGAAAGCCTTTCTTGTCCAAGGCATGCAGGGAGGAAGCACGTGCGTGCCTGAATCAAAGGACAAGAAGAATGCCAGGGTCCCAAGCCAATGCAACAAGATCCAGATGGACTCGAGGACCATGGGACCTCTCTGCTGCTGCCATGATACGTGTCATCCTCATAGTCACTAAAGTCGTCAATGTCGAACTCGTGGGCCTCATGGTGTATATTATGTATATATATAATATATATTATACGCAGTGTCTTGAAAGAAGAAGAAGAAGAATGAAGAAACCCTGGACTCTGGATTCTGCATATGGTGTTTGCCTCTTGGTGCCACACATTGGAGGTCGGGAGCAGGTGCTCCCTGTGCAGGTTGATGTTACATTGTTGTGATCTCATTGTTGAAATCGATTGGCAACTGCATCCCAAGTCTCTAGAACTATCCGGCCCCGTTCGCGCGCTTGACACAAATTGTCCGAAACAAATGTTCTAAAACTGCTTCTGGCCTCGCATTCTCTGCAAATGGTAGCTGGCCTGTAGGTGGAGGCAAAGTTGGGGGTGTTGCAACTGAGGAGACGTGATCCGGAGAAGCTCCAAGACAGGGTTGCGAATCACGCATACCGAATCACGAATCACGCTCAGGGTGAGGGGTCTCAAGGTTAGAGAATCACGAATCACGAATCACGAAATGAATCACAAATCACGTGGCTGTATAATGACTTCCGGATCACCACTCCAACTGAGAAACAAATCGAAACAGCCGAATCGCCCAGTGTCTTGCACTGCAACTCCCGATCCCAACAGCATCTTGGGATCTGAGTATAGGAAGTTTTGAAATCACTTTGAAGACAATGTCTCTGCAGGGTGTATTCTAAAAGAAGCATGAGCCTGAGCCAACCACCACACCACTGCAAATAATTATCTGAGTGAGCTGCTGGCAACTGGCACTTGAAGCATTGCTTGGCGCCGGCTGAATACCTCTAGCCAAGCCTGAGGGCAATTGTCTGCTGCTAGGTCGTTTGTCTTCGCAGAAAGTCAGTCAACTAAACTGCCGAGGAAACGGCATGGAAAGCCGAAATATAATTGATGAAAACGGTACATGTTTACACATCTTGACACATGCTTTACACGTTTTTACACATTTCAACTCTTTTTGTGCTAGGGTGAGAAAACTCCACCTCCAACTCTTCAGCGTCTGCTGCTTCGAACATCAGCAGCTGCCGAAATTCGCCAGACGGCAAGGCCTGGGCTCAACAAGCACCCTTAAATACAGTTGTGCTACTACAACCCTAGAATACATAGGTTGCCATTGGGTTGCCAGCTGGAGGCAAGAAAAGGTTCTCTTGCGCAGGATGCATTATCTACATGAAGGGTGGAACACAAAAAGCCAAGCAGCTAAGCACTTGCTGCCAGGTCGCATAATCTTCAGCATCTAAAGGGTTGAGTTCAAGCAAGAAGCCTGCATTGTTTGTGCTTGAAGTTTGTCTTTCAAGTTGATTGGACTTACAAGGCCGGTCAGTCTCTGAGCAAAATCATGTTTCAGCCAGAGGAACTCAGAAGACTCCTCAGGAATGTTTTACCATGTTTGATCAGCATCTATAAGCAATGTCAGGTTTGTTCCCAACCTGTTGACTTTGAGGCTTGAAACCTGGACTTGAGCAAATTAGAATGAGCCGGCCAAGTTGTTCATTTTTCATCAGTTTCTGCCTGTTATTTTAGACCTTGACAAACCCAAATAATTACATCGTTCTTCATGCGTTCCTTTCCTGTTTTGTAATTATAGAAACCCGTGCCCGTTCCTTTTCAATTCCTTTCTTGCAACACGTTCTCGAATTTCGTCCGTGCGTCAACCCCCGGCCGTGAGGTCGATGCCCTCTCAGCTTGGCGGCCAGGTTTGGGGCTCGCGGGTCCGCGAAGGTCAGCACCCGCGCATTCGGCTGCAGCTCCAAACGCCCAATGCTTCGCCTAGGAAACACTATTACGAACATGCCAAAAGGTCAAAGGCTGGCAAACAAATGCGAACAATAATAACATGCTTATATAATATAATGTATTCCGAGATGATGTGAAAGTGCTTCCACCCGCCAGGAACGCAAGAACAAGAAGAGATTGTGCACAACAGCAACATCCCACTTCTTGTACTTTCCCGAGTTTCTTAAGGGGTGTGAATATGGTACAAACATGTCAGAAGTTGATGGCGATCAAAGTCTCTCCAGCGTCCAAGTTCTTCATCAACAAAGTCGCATGATGTCAGACAAAGCAAGTGCAAAATTGCGGTTTTTCCCCAAGCAGTGTGGACCCTCTAGGGGTTCTTACGGTGAGTGTTAAGCACTGGTGTCTAATCGGACGTGCCGCGCGGGCGTGTCCAGCTAATTTGCTGCTATTTATAGTGCATTCATGCTTCTCAAAATCCTCGAAGTGCATTTCGACTGCGCAGGGTCGCAGAACCTCGTGGGCTGGAGCGGGCGCTTGTCGCGACTGCGCTCTCGTTGCAGCGCCGTGCGCATTTCCGGACATGGTGGTCACTTTTAGTGGCAGGCGCGCGGGAAACCCCGTGTTGTGGTGGTCCAAAGTCGACTTTTCGTGACAGCCGCAAGGGATCGGAACGGTTTTACTTCGAAATGCAGATTTCGTGGCAGGCGCAGCACTTTGGACATGGTGGTGATCTTTGAGGCGCTCTGACTTCGTGACAAGCGCAGTGAATCGTGACTTTTGGACATGTGGCTCGCTTGTAGATTTCGTGGCAAGCGCAGTACTTTGTGGACCTTACCCCCCGGGGGGGTCAAAAATGTAACTTACAATTTTGGGTGTTTCAAAACGCAGGTTTTGGAAAACGGTGAAGCTTGAACATACAGGTCTAAAAAACCTCCATCTGACAAGACAGGGGTCAAAATTGTAAGTTACATTTTTGACCTTCATGTGTGTTCGTTCAGCCTGTATGCGCTCAAAAATTGTAAGTTGCATTTTTGAGGGTGAGGTAGAAGCATGGAGAGGTAGAAGCATGGACCCTCACCCTCAAAATTGCAACTTGCAATTTCCAATCTGCAATGAAAAACGATGACAAAGATCCCGCACGGCCTTTTTCCGCGTTCATGAGCGTTCATGAGTTTCTCAACCCCAAAGGTGGGTCGAAGACATTTGTGTAAGTGTAAATTCAGCTGTTTTGTACAGTCTTGTGCACTTTGCCCTGCGTTTCTCGCGAGTCACACTAGCCCTCACATTTGCTGTAAATATAGGAGGGCGACTAATTGTAACATTGGTTTTGGCGCGCTCTGAAGTGCGCACTGTGCCGCATTTTTCCGCATGCAGCGGCTGCGCGCGAAGATTTTGGCCAGTGGGAAAGGCAGTCTAATTGCAATATGTCCTTGAATCACTCTCACTCCCCCCACTCACTCACTCTGACTCTCGCTCGCACTCACTCTCACTCTCACTCTCACTCACTCTCACTCTCACCCACACTCACACTCACACTCACATTCACACTCACTCTCACTCACCCTCACTCCCACTCTCACTCTCACGCTCACTCTCACTCTCGCACTCTCTGGCTCTCACTCTCTCACTATCTCATTCTCACTCTCACTCACACTCTCACTCACTCTCACTCACACTCTCACACTCACCCTCACTCTCACTCACTCTCACTCACACTCACTCACCCACTCACCCGCTCACCCACTCACTCTCACTCTCGCTCTCACTCTCATTCTCATTCTCACTCTCGGGTCTCGCTCTCGCTCTCGCTCTCGCTCTCGCTCTCGCTCTCCCTCACACTCACACTCACACTCTCACTCTCACTCTCACTCTCACTCTCACACTCACACTCACTCTCACACTCACTCTCACACTCACTCTCTCTCACTCACTCACTCACTCACTCACTCACTCACTCGCTCACTCACTCACTCACTCACTCACTCACTCACCGCCACCATCACCACGATCTCCACCTTCATCACCACCATCACCTCTCTGGACCCCATGCGTCTAGATCTCTCTGTCTCTTGCCGGGATAATTTGTTGGCCGCTCCCCTCTCCTAATACTATATATATATATTGAGATGTATGCCTGTATATATATATATATATATTTTTGTTTTGCTCGTTCGTTTGTTTTGTTTTTTTGCGGGGGGTAGGCCGCTAGTAGAGGTGAGGTAGGTTAGCTACGTAGCAGGATAGCTCACACTAATGATTTGGTTTCTAGACTTTGAGGGAAACTTAACACTAGTGGGCTAAAGCCTCATGGACAACAGTGACTCTTCCAGTGTATGTCCACCCCAAAGCCCACCAAACTGAACGGAACCATCCACCGGCTTAGTTCGAAGTCGCTTGCAGCTCTCGTCTTGAAAGAGTGTGAGGACGCCGCTGTGCTGAAGCACCACCCAGCGGTGCTGCCAACACCCGGCCTGTCCCGCGCTGGTACTGCGTGACGCTGGACACGTCGTGGCATATTACATCAACAGGTGAAAAGGAAACAGTTTTGTAAAAAATGTGAGAAAGAGATGAAAAAAGGAAGGTAAGGCCCTCTCTAGCCTTCCCGTGTTCATCTCTTTTTCATATGTTCGATGTTTGATGATATTTGGACAACGCAATTTGATCGAAGTGCTCCCCTGCTTTCAAGTTTCACACCTCCTCGTCCTCAGGGCTGCGAAAAGCCAGCCAGGCTGCATGCGATGGACATTCCATGCTGTCCGCCACTTGCAAGTTTTGAGTTGCAACTTTAGTGTCCTTGAGTCAGCTGCAAAGGCCCTCCTGTTCTTCTCAATCTTCTGACGGCAATTTTGTCTTGAAAGCACTTGGTGTTTGACATTGAATCTGCTGCAAAAGCTGACCCCTATCATCAATGAGCTGTCCCTTCACGCACGTCCATTCACAGCTGAAACCAAATGGCTCCACCACCTGTGCTTCTGACAGTCGCTGATCACCCAAATGTGATAACAAAGTGTATACAGCATATAGATTGGCGTATCCCCGGCCCGGGGCCCGGCTGACGCGATTACAATGCGATTACATGACATAGCATAAACGTTTCACTGACTTAGGCGCGCCTGCGTACTGAGGCCTGGTTCACTAAGGACTGTTTCACGCGTTAACGATGCAAACCGGACCATTATGGTCTGGATGCAAGCTTTCGAGCTTGCTTGGTGCTGCCGGCAATCATGGGGGTGCAGCATCCCAACCTCATCATCGCGATTACACAACATTACATTGACATGTGAGTGCAGTAGTCAGTAGTCTTCATGTCAGGGTAAATGTTGCTCAGAAAGCCGCGTGTTTTCTTGACAATCTATAACATAAACATCCCGCCGGGCTCGTTTCTGCGCGCGCGGTTGAAGACATTTGTCAAATCTTCACGTGGTCAGTGATGACGAATGTCCGGTGTGTGACTGTGTTTTGCATTGATGTGAAAGGTTTGTTGCCGAATGTAGTACATGAAAACGACTCAAAAATCGTTGCGATTTTGACATCGAAATGCTACGAGACTGTGGTTTCGTGCCAAAAAAAAAGCGCGCAAATTCATCCTCCAGCATCATCATCACAGTCTGTGGGACAACTTCTGACCCAGCTTCGTCAGAAGATCGTCTTTATTCTGGTGCCAGCGCCATTGCCACTGTCGAGTGAACTTCATGATGTTTGGGTTTATACCGTCACCTTCACGTGAACGCAAGCTAGTGGGGACCGACCCCTTACACAAACGCCACATACCATCAATGGCACCGGTGTGGATGAGCAGCTCTCCTGACCTCAAGCATCTGACAATCCCCCGAACGGAAAGACTTCGGAATAAGCTAGCAGTCAGCAACCACCAAGCCAAGTTTCCATGCGTCGACGTCTAAAATAAGAACTGACAGACCCCGACCACCTGTGTGTACCGACCTGTCTGTGTGTGTGCCCCTTGAAGTCACAGGGATCCTTTTGGAATGTAATGCCTGACTTTTTTGCTACTGTTGATAGCAGGGGAGCGGTGGGCATTCTTGAAGTCACCGCTCAACGAAGACACTTCAAGTTTGCTGTGATATGGAATCTGGACGCAGATTGCACGCACCTGCGAGAAGATGATCACCACTCATTTCCCTTTGGGCCCCTTTGTAACTAGAACGAGAATTCCAGCCTGCGTGTGCGTGTGTGGCTTCCTAATAAAAATGCAGACAACATGAACATCACTAGCCCCCCACCCAACCCCCCCTCCCCCCTAACCCCCCGTGTCCCCATCTTCCATATTCCAATGCGTGTGTTTGTGTGTGTGTGTGTTCTTGCCCCCCCCGAAAGGACTGTATGAAAAATCGTTTCACTACACGCGCGGTTTTAAGCCCATTAGCATAAACATGTCCACCTCATAAAGTGCCCACTCTGCCCTTGTTCCAACCCTTGCGACAACTCTGCAAGTCCCGCTGTCGGAACCCCTGTAAGCATCCCTCGAGCATCTGGCCTGCTGGGCATTCGTGCAAACAAAGCGCAGCTGTTTCATTACCCTGCATTCACAAGTGAGACATGCGCGGCGTCTTTCTCACGAACAAAAATATGGGCTCAAGTCTCACAAGCAAAACTTTCTATTGAGCCTTGTCTCAGAATCAGGGCACCTCTCAAACTACTGTCCCCATTGCAAAGTTCATGCGAGGTCCCTCGAAAAGTTCCAACGACTTGAGGAACCCTCAAAATGGCTTTGACTAAGCGCTGGCGTCCTCTGCAGCCATCAAATGCAAGGAAGCACATCCACCATGACTGTCTCGAGTATCAAGATCTGCTCCAGCCTGGAGGATTCATTGGAGGCGGTCAAGACGCGGTTCAGTGGTTTTATGCATCGAAGTTACACAGGGTGGGTGCTGTAGCTCCTTGGCTCCCTATTTATTGGGGAACATGGATACCCCCGACAGCATGCAACAGCTACTTGTGTAATCAAATGCAGTATCACTTCAGCAAGGGACTCAATGAGCGTGGAAGGAAGCATGTGAGGAGATCTCCGAAGACCTTGCACAAATCATTGAGAAAACCTACAGGACCGACAATCGAAAAGCAAGAACTTTTCTACAGATCCCGCAAATGCACCATGCCCAACCACTCCGACTTGTGTCATCTGACGCAAGAAAATAGCGTGCCTGCCACTCGAAGGGGATCACCAGGTCTGAAATCACAGAATCCAGCACTTCTCACCGCGCGCGTCATCAAGCGTCGAAACTCTGCGCCTGCGACGTACTGCTCCTGCCAACCAGAAAGCACCTGAAAGTGCCCATTCTCTTGGACATATCACATCATATCACTCACTATAAGTCAAAACGACGGTTCGGATCTCAATAATATATTTGCAGCCCTTGTGCCTGCCACTTAAAGCGTAGAGCGGCAACGTGTGTGAAAAGGAGCACGGCATCAATCTGACAAGTACAGAACTACGATGAAGTAGAAGGGTCGGGCCTTCCAGGGCACCCATTGCTGGCACACAAATCCTGAAAATGATCTCTAACTCTAGCTTAGCAGTTGCCAGGCCGCACATGTGCTCACCTATCGAAAGATTCAAAATTGCAATAAGGATGACGAAGGTGGAAAAATACGAATCATGAATCAGTATATTTGTCTTGAGGCTGGCACGAACAATCGCTGCACGAAGAATTGGCTCACCAGTGTCGCCAGTAGCCTGGGTCAATCATCCTTTGCCCATCCACTTGTAAGGTGCTTACATGATGTGTGTATAATGCATGTTAGTTTCTATATCCATCACTGGCACATCGACTATCTGGCCTCTGCAACATCTGCCCTCTTGGTATCAACGTGGATCAGATTTGTGGCTGAAAGGTCTGCCCGAGATCTTGATTCTTCATAGCATGAATGCCTTGCTGATGCTGGATACCGAATAACTTCTTAAACACACATTGCAAAAAGCTGTCTAGAAACATCAACAATGCCGTTGTTTTCACACAAGCAGCATGCTGAGCCAAGTGACCGATTCCCCTCGTGACGGTGAAATGCCAAACCGTCTCAGTCCTGCATAAACCGTGCTGGGAGTCCATGTTCTTGTGAATCAACTAGTCACTTATGCGGATGCGGCAAAATCCAAACAAAGCCTCATCATTTGGGCCAAAGCCTAAGCACCAAAATCAACAAGTTGTTGTCGCAAATTGTTTTACGATAGGTCGAGCCAAACGTCTGGGGCAAATCCCTGTTTGCCGCCCGACAAGAGATAGGAAACAATGCGCAAATGACTTTACTTGTTCACTTGCAGGCACAAGAATCAACTATGCGAAAGACATCGAAAGACAATACTATATGAATGAAATCGCTGGAGTTGGCAGCTGCATTAACTGATTCTTGCGCCTGAGGCATTCCATGGCCGAAAGAAAGCATCTTGGGTACCTCCCTGAGTTTCTCTAGGCTGCTATATGGTACTGTACAGTACTATCTGTACCTTGGTATTGTTTGCGACGCTTCTGTGACACTTCAAATCTCTTTCAGCCTTCACAATTCTGGTACAACACATCAACCTTGCTATGAAATCTTGGACACAGAAGAGATGCGCCTGCACTTTGGCAAAGCAACTACAGTTAACTACAGCTGGAATGTTGACATAAGGTGATACAAAGATACACAAAACATATCAAACAAATAATTCAAGTTTGCTCAGTTGATGAAGTTTCTCAGCGCTTGCCAGTAACGATCACCAGCAAGAAGGTAAGTGCTCATGTGTTCGCCCCTGAGCACGATTAAGAAGTGATAGAGCAAACACCAAGCACACTGGAAGGCAATGAGCTGTAAAATGACAACAGCAGTACAAGCAAAGACCCGACATGGTTTCAACATGTTTCAACATGTGATTTCAACACGTAAGGAACAGTAGGGTGGTGTCATTCGCACGATAATAATTATCCTCCACTCGTGCGATTAATGACTTAATGCCCCTTAAATGGCTCTCGATCAGCAAATGGCCTTTGGAAGCTGTGGAAGGAAATGTCCAGGCTCTTGTGCTTTCCTCCCACGTCCCGCAACTCCTCCATGCAAGATGCAGGCACCACCTCCAGCGAGAATGATCCGACGCAAAGTGCAACTGTCGCAAGTTTCAATTTCAATATGGCGTGCCTTGTCATGAGCAGCCGAGAGCAAACAAATGCGCAAGGATTTCTTCTGGCTGGAAAGAGCGCTGCCAATCCTCACATGCAGATGCATGCGTTCACTTCTTGGAAGATTTGCCTTCGTTGTGACCAAGACAGCACAGCTGTGTGCATGCCTCTGCAGACACTGAGACTCCGCATGTCGCATGAAAGCACTGCAATCACCACACGCGATTGCGTGCCACGAAACGCAAGAGATTTCTCAATACTCAAGGTGCTCGAACTGGAAAGCGATCCTGCCCCACCACAATAGCATTTTCCCAAACAGGTTACTGTTGGGGTTTCTCTCAGCAACAAAAGGGATGGCCATTCTTGACGGCGTTCAGGCGTTGTACCATGCGTGCGCTTCTGTGGAAGCACAAAGAAAGATGTGTTGCTCGCTGCTGATGCGATGCTGCAGCCGCTGCAGCCGATGCTGCATGGTTGTCCAGCTGAGCTTGCTGATGGCTTTGAGATGCTTTGAGTAATTTGCGGTGTAGCTAGGCAGCCAAATGCTGGCTCTGCCAGTGTGGCCTCTGGTGTCTGTGGTGTGTCCATACGGACTTCCGGCGTGTCAAAGCGTTCGGGCCAAAGCCGCACCTGTTATGGAATCGAGTTCTCACCTAAACTTAGAACGCCTCCTCACAAAGTTGGAATCTTGCCGCTTTGCATGTTCAAGTTCAAGGCTTTACAGATTACACTGGCGATGTGTTCTGAATTTTGATGAATTTTGTAACTAGGCATTACATGGCCTCGCAAAGGACGGCCCATAGATGAAGGCCGCGCTTTTGCTGTCCAATTGCAAATCTTCTCTATCTACCATAATGGACAAGATGTGGGGCGGCCCTTGCAACGAGACTGTACAAACAGCGGGTCAAACGGATGGTTACATGCCTACAAGAAAAGAATACCAGTTGCTCCCAAGTTGCTTTAAGCGCGTTTATCTTTCGCACAAGTTTGATTGTAGTTGTTTGAAAGCTGCAAATGCACCTCTGAAGTGAACGCGAGAGACGGAGAGTGGGATTGGGGAAGGAAGGGAGGCTAAAGTGGTCAACCAGTCAAGAAAAAAGATACCGTTATTCCAGTACCTCAATTGAGCCTCAATTTGCTTGTTTTGAGCTTGCTTTCATCCATGTTCCAAGGCTCCAGTTCAGCCAATCATTGCTTCGCCACTCATCCAGAAGCACAGGCCACGACAGAAGCCTTCGCGGAAGAATCCTGCAGGAGAAATCCGTCGATGTACAGTATTTGCTGTCATAATGCAAACGACTCAAACGACAAAGTGCAAGAGCCAGATTGTGACCTCAAGAAAGGCATGAGGTGCATCGCCATGTCTGCTATGCAGGAAGGTGAGTTCTCGATGAGGACACCTCCAAGACGGAGGGTCATTTCACGCAAGCTGTCAGGTAAATCAAATGTAAATGCTTTACCCTGTGTTACTGGTAGTAGCTTCTTGTTCCTAGTGCCGATGGCCTCCAACCTACTTGCGATGGCCTCCACCTAATAGCATCCTTGTTACTGCACAAATGAAGCACTAATGAAGCACATGAAAAATCATCATGGCGCGCTGCTCAGCCTGCTGGCAGTGGCAAAGGCTGCTTTTCTCCAGGCCCTCCTGCGCTGTCAGCACCACGGCGCATCTCTTCAGGGCAGTTTGAACCGGCGCTTGCACCAAGCAAAAAGGTCAACAAACGAACCTCAGATGCTGCGCGTGCACTTGCGCACACAAGATTTAACGCAAGCACGTACACGGTCTTTGAGCAAGAGTCAAAGTCGAACCTGCTCCACGCTCCTCGATATATAGCATAATCATGCATAATCGACGGATTGACTTCGATCATCTTGAAGCAATTAGTTTGACCACAAAATGGAAGCACACCTTACGAACTCCCTGGCAAGTTCAAAGTTCAATGTCCAAGCAGCAAGTAGCATTTCAACGATCCGGTACAGTATAAACCGGCTTGCAGGTCTTGACTCGGAATCTCGGACAAAAATGTTGCATGAGTCAAAATGATCACGTGTTGTCGTCCAACCGAAGTGGATCGAAGTGGTATCGAACAGGGGTCTACAAGACCAGAAAGGAGGTCCAATGTAGTCCTCTCCATGACTTTGCGTTTGCAGGCAAGCTGGAAACACGCGTCTGGCGCCCGCAGGTCCACAGGTTCGAGGAGCTGCAACACATCCTCCCAGAGACCGTCCAAATATGAACAGCCGCGCTGGATCTACGCAGGACTTCTCCTGCATCAGGGTTTCGACACCTTGAATGGGCCCAATGGTCGTCTATGGGAGATACCAGGTCTGACACGCAAAGTTATTGCCTTCTGTGATGTTCATTCGCAGCATGCGCACAATGACTTGGGACGCGACAAGTCTAGACACAACAACCCGGTTCACTAGTCCCTGACCAACCCATTTTCGGGGGACAAAGTCTGTATGCCACAAAAAGGGGGGGGCGTGGCACAAATTGTTGCCTCTGTGTCCTGGACGTTGTCCCATGCGTTTTTAGCCAGTGGTTCGCCTAGAAGAAAAGGCAACACTGGAAAGCCAACGGGTGGGTTGTCAACAACTAAAATCAGTAGGGGCTCACAGTCTATTTAAATAAACTGGTCGGAGGCTACCACCGTGGCACCAGCTCGCAGTGCTGTTGAGTGCTGTTCAAGGCATTGGCGAGAAGAAAGTGGTGCGCTGCACCCGGGCCGTTGCTCCAAAGTCAGCTCCAATGTGCAGTACCGGTTCCCAGACAAGGATGCGACTAAAACCAGTGGGCCGCAGGGCCGGTTTGGGAGAGGGGCACCTTGGGTCCAGAGGGATTGCCTGTGTGGTCAGGGGGATGAGCTTTGATGTTTGCCAAGCAGCAGCTCATGTCAAAATGTTCCGTGGATCCGGCTACAATTTTATATTGCTACATAGTACTGGTTCCAAAGATTAAACAAAGCCCTAACCGCACACCCTCTCTTGCAAAAAGACCTCGCCACCTGCAGTACCTCATCCTGCCTCAGAATATGTTGATGTCATAAAATGTCATAAACTAGTTTAGTTTGTTCCAGCCTTTGGAGCTCCAATACTCACAGTGGAGATAGATACAAATAATACGCAGGATATGACCGCCAATTTGGGATCACAACATGGGAGAGAAGACGTTGCTTGGCGATTCTGCCTTAAAACTCAAGCCTAAGTGAGTAGGGCAGGTGGCACTGGCGGCCTCAAGCATTGTGAAGTAGCTCATGTGTGAACGGCACCAACAGCACACAACTCCCAAGCACAGTAGGCATGCACTGACCGCACAGCAAAATCTCCCTATCAAATCTGGACTGTGCAAAAATGTTTAAGGAGCCCCTAGTAGCGTCCTTGCTCCTGGTAGCGATGCCAGGATCCCCTAGTAGCTTCTTGCTTTTAGTAGTAAGGCCAGGAGCGCTAGTAGCTTCTTGTTACTAGGGTCCGTGGAGGCGTAGTTCACCAGCCAGTTATACGCGCAAGCAGCATCTTCAACAAAGGACTTCTCCGAAATACCTGCCGCAAAAAGTGTGCGTGAGGGTGGCTGAGAGGTGCTGTACCCATTTCAAGTCTTTGACAATGACAAAGACCCTTCATTGCCCAAGGCAGGTCCGTCAAATCCACTGTTATTTCACCCTGCACGGTTTTTCGTCACTTCCTAAGTGAATCCGTTGCCAAAATCTGCGAGCGTCGACCAAAATTGTCTCTGCCAACTGTCTTGACCCAGCCCTGGCCTCCATCTGCTGAGCGGCCAAACCCACGATATTCCATTGCCAGGATGACTACCTCACCAAGACACGGATCTTTTGGAACAAGGACTAAAACACATGTTCCCAATCTGGATGTGGCCATCTTCGTCTGAAGACCAGCTTTGGAGGGTACTTTTGGCCATGTTTGAAGCAACATATAATTGACAAATGTCAATGATTGAATTGAAACCAACGGTTAAGCACAGGCTCAGACACACAGGCTTGACAAGCTTGCGCACAAACGCTTATATATATATATGTTTCATCATGTTTCCAGGGTTTCAGCTCGCGCACTTTGTCCTAGCGGGTCCAGCACGCTGCCTAGTGCGATAAAAATCGCAACTCAACTCCAACTTGGGTGTCTTTTACTACAGACCGGCAATGCTCCTCAAACAAGGGGTGGAGCTTGGCAGCTCTTCGGAATGTTCACTGTGGCAGGACTTGGGAAAACAAAAAGAAACTGCATACGAAGGAATCAACCATATCAGCTAGTCCAAGCTGCGGCAAATGCCCCTTGCGCCGCTCCCAGACACACTAACTGGGCACCAATGATGATTCTCTACACTAAAGCCACCCTGGCCCACAACCCACGATAACAAACTTATCAAAAGGAGGAGTGTCCCGTTGACCAAATCTGGGGTCCGGCCGGGCTATCGTGGCAGCTGAGGCTACCTTGAAGACTAGGGCGGCAAACAGCCACAGGAGGTGACTCTGCAGTTGGAACCCTGTCAGTCCCAGCAACATTCAACTGCCGGCAAAGTTGGCTAAAAAAGTCCAAGCGCTGAGGGATGTCACCTAGGCGGTGCACAACTTTCACAGGCGTGCAACCACAAAATTCACAAAGACAAGGTGTACGCTCATAAACCCATCAAGCTGAATGCACTTTTTTCAATAACTGAAGCAATTCTGATGGAATTCACAAAGACTATAGACTTGGAGGTCCCGTATCTCTTGCACCCTGACAAGCTGCCAGCATTGGAGTGAAAGAATAGCAAGGCAGGTCTCTTCGTCTGCGCACCTTTCCTGGGACAGAAAATGTGTGGGCCAGAGTGAAACTATCGACCAATGCGACAAAACGTCGTCAGGCTTCTTCATCCCAAAAGCAAGGCTGCTTACGTGAATATGAGTAGAGTAGAGGGGGATGGACTGCCTTTGAAGCCGAGCGTCCAAGACTTGTTGTAAAGCTTGAATCAAGAATCTTCGAGACATTCCCAGGATTGACACACATCCCACATCCAAAGGACATGAGATATGCATGAATTACACTGCACCTTTCTATCTGAAATGTGAGAGATGATCACGTACTGTACTATCCAAGACTCATCCCACTATCACTATCTGTATGAAAGCTGCATCAAAACAATTCGCAATCCCAAAACACAACATGCTTTTGCCTTCAGCCCTCTTTACAGCAAAGTGCAGAAAGGCAGGTAAAAAGAGCTCGCTTGCTCTAAATCTAAGAAATGAAATGATGCACAGGATTTCGTCATCCGGCTCCATTTGGGACAGGCCCAAAACAAACATTACCAGTACTTGACATGGCTTGCGCAGGAAGAGCTACAGAACCGAGTATCTGCGGATATAGCAGCCACGCATTTAGCTTGGTTCCATCCCTGGCTTGTGGGTTCTGAGTGGCAAGTCCAATCCCATCGACATGAATCTGTTGCAGAAAGAAGGAAATTCAATGAAATGCAAAAAACCTGAGAAATGCAGAAAGCTTAGTGTGTAAAAACAAGTTGCAGGTAGGAAATGGTAGGAAAAGTATCTTTATCCCAAAAAAAAGATCCTTTGAAGAAGCTAAGCTGTTTCTTATGTAAAAATATGTCAAACCTTATAACCTTATACTACTTATATAGTTACTACTTTCTCGAATTCTGCGCCGTAGAAGTGAAATCCTCAGCTCCCTGGCCTCGAGCTGAGAAAGAAACCTTCATGCTCCAGGCCCCATGCAGCAGGGTTGGATTTGTGACCGATGGAAACGCGCCTCACAACGGACGGTCAAAAGCACATCGACGACATTGCGAGGGATAGAAGCGGCTACTGCGAGGGGAGAGCAAAACATAGCAACACCTCAACGAGACGTCAACAAAAATAGAAAGCTCTGCAGCAAATGAATAAGCCAACAGGACGCCACGCCTTCCAGCCACTATTGGCCTGCAGTGGAAACGACCAGGCTGCCGCAGGAACTATAGGCTATTGTACTACTGTAAATCAATATATCCCAAGCTGACTTAACAAAGGAGAGAACACCGTGGCCGGACTGAATATGCCAGAGTCACATCGCACAAAACTATTTATACATGTGCTTTTCAGAAATATATAGTTCCTGAAGTTCCCCCTCCTCTCCGCCTCATCTCCTCGCCTCCTCGCCTCCTTGCCTCCTCTCCTCCTCTCCTCCTCTCCTCCCTCTCCTCCTCTCCTCCCTCGCTCTTTTTGGTTCTTGTGCGCCTTCCTGCAAAGTTGGGTTGGGACCGCGGCTGAGGCTCGTTTGCATTTCTGTCCCTTGGCCATACAGCAGTACAGTACTTCTAGGAAGTTTTATAATGTTTTATATACAGTACGTTAAAACGGGAAGTGCAATTCTGGCACCGGTAGAGGATGTTGCGCTGCTGCAGAACGATCATCGCAAGTGGAACGAGGATGACTGCCATCAAGAGGATGAGGAACCTAAGTGAAGTCTGTCGGACGGCCAGTTGAGCTCGCTAGGACCGGCCGGGCACCAATGCAAAATGGTGCTTGAATGCAATCTCATTTGCATGCATATGCTCTAATTATAGTCGGCGGTTTAGCTTTTGGATTTCATGTGGTCTGTGTCATTTACAACATCTGGGTTCTGCCTTGATTGCGACTTCAACATGTCACAACATGTCAACCATACCCCGAAAGCATCCTTGCAATAGCCCAACAATGTTACTAGTAACGTCGTGTTATTAATAGCGATGCCCTTGTTCCGATGAACCTGTTCCCCTAATAGTGCTTTGCAGCAGCTTTTGGCACATTGAAATCCATGAATTATAATCCGCATCGTCGTCGAAGTCCTGCACCGACCAAACTCAAGCTTTTGATTCAACTTCTTGCGGTGGCCTAGCCAGAACCCAATGCCACACCACCATACTAATTATAGATCTTGTGATTAAAGGGTGTGTTCTTCCGTTTTTGCTTTGCGAGAAGGCATGCAAAAAATGTCTCTCATGATGTTTCTCGTAAAAAAGGTGTCGAGGCATTGAGACCAAAGCTAGGAAGTTCAAAAATCTCGGCGGAGAGAAAAAGCATTGTTCAGTGTCAAGATCTACCTCCAGGTCTTCGAAGTCTGCACGAGGTATTGATAGTTGCAAGCCCAGCAGAAAAGTAGCCACGCCGAGAAAACACACCTGCGCAAAGTGACCAAACACAACACGTCAACTCTTTACCCCAAAGCGACCAATCTCTGAGATCAAACTGAATAAACGCCTCAGCTGTTTTATATAGTTAAGTGAAGTGCTTTACTCCCACAACATCCCACAAGCATAGACGTGGTAGCATGTGGTTCCTGTTTTTCTCGCTGATCCGCTGGAAAGAACTTTGTAGGAGCCAAGGAAAGCTTATGTTCGCTCGCTCTGCTTCTTGTGTAGGTTATTCTTTTACACGTAAGTCTTTGTGCAAAAGAGTTTTGACAAGCGAAGCTGCTAAGCAATGACAGTGAGATAGGAAAGCAGCGTGAGATGAGCGAGCGGCGATGCCGAAGTGAGCCCAGCTGATATCCTGTCATCATACACTTCTGAGAGATCGGCCAATGCTTCAAACGACGAGGATGAAAGAAATAAAATGAGACGACTGGGATTGATGGATAGGAGGGGATGGGGATGAGGATTGGATGAGATCAGCTGAAATCAGACCAGAGGAAAACAATAGTGTTGTGCTTAAACCTCCCTATCATGACTTCCCACTGTTGCTACTAGGAGCAAAGGGCATCGCTAATATATAGGAGCAAGAACGCTACTAGGGGCTCCTGGCCGTACTACTAGGAACAAGAAGCTACTAGTAACAAGGGCATTGTTACTAGAATAGTCCTGGACTGCTCGCTGTCAGGATGTGGGCTACCGAGACTCTGAGCTTTGCACCGCTACAAAGCTCGACATCCAACCGTGTCTTTGTCACGATTGAGCAAAGCCGCAAAGCTTGTCACTCTTTGGCATGGCCGGCATGGCTTCTTTGGTTAGTGATGAAAGTCCGTGAGGTCCTTGTTCTTTCGGTCTGTCAGCTTTCACATGTAAGGCAATGTGTTAACCACAGAATGCCACAGGATCGCTGCGCATGTTTCATGCTAAGTGCTCTAAGTATGGGTTTTTCCATGCTGAGATGGGTATTTGGAAGTAGCCTAGCTCTCGAGCCAGAAGCCCAATGTGTTTCCCATTCCCATCTTGGAAGGACATCAGTCTGCTTGGAATTTCAACGGATTGGACTCAATTGAGTTTCAGTGTTCTGGATCAGACTGAACATGTCGTGCAAAATTGCTCGCGCTTCCAAACGACACTGTAATGCATTGTTTCCCAGTGCTCCCGCGAGGTCGTCCCAGCGTGGCCACCAGCCACCTGAGGAGGCACCCGCTTACACCACGCCAGCACCAGCCAGACGGCGACGGCATTATTTCATCAAACTCAGTTCTCAGGTTTCGAGCCATTCTCTCATTAATCATTTGCTAATGTTGGCATAGCAGCCACCTTTGTCTCACGATAAACAACAAACTGTGAAGGTCTAGGAATAAGCTTGGAATGGGCTCTCAACAGAGCACACAAGTTCAATCAATTTCATTAGGTGACTGGTGCGTCAAATGTAGAAACAGCACCATTACAACAAACTACTTGAGGCACAAATTAGTGAACAGTGAAGATTGGATATATAAGGTTTGGGTTGCTTTGAAGTTTAGCGCCGGAAGCAACTGCCGGAAGTCGCCTCTGGCAGCGTCCAAATCTGAAGCAGTTGGTGAAGCTCGCTGCTTCGCCTTGGCGACAGGCTGCACAGAATCCTTCTCCGCACTCATTC